TGCTGTCAGCAGCCGGGCGGCCTGAGCCCGGCCGGGGTGCCCGGGGGTGACGACACCTGGGAGCGGCCTTGCCTGGAGCGTCCCGACGGCCTCGCCTCGGAAGGCCTCCAAAGCACAGATGCCTCCCAAGAAATGTGAAGCTAATGCCAAACAACTAGCAGCTACGTTTTTTCTTTTACAAAAAACGTATTACCAGTTTTTTCGATCAGAAGGTATGCTTGGTGCTTCTTTCCTGCTTGCTGCATCTCCCACAGGACTGTATAGCGCTGCAAAAGTAACCAGGCTTTTTCTGTTCTCTGTAGAGCCACTCTAATCACCGGATGCACCTTATGAAAACTAAGCGGTGGAAGAGGAGGACCATTTGTGCAGTATAACGCTGGGACTTCACTTGCATGTGAATGCAAGAGGCGTATATATACACACTATATCACATCTCTGGCTGTATCACAAGTATTACTGTTCAGGTTTTTACCTGTATCCTGTTTTTGTGTTCCGGACTGTGCCTTAAAGGTCACATAAGACAGCTTGATTGTGCTTTTGTAATTAGTGCCTAAAGATTTGTTAAGCAGAAATGAAAGTATGTATTGTTTGAATAAAATCAACTGAAAGGACAGACTGTAAAAGTGGCTGCGAATAAAATCCAGCTCTTACGTACTCTGAAGTTGTAACTCAGACTTTTTCCCTCAATAGATGAGGCTTACCCAGCTGTCTGTCTTTCAAAAAGTTAATTGTGAGGGTTTTACGCTGTTTGGTTTTCTGTTACACCTTTCTTTACACCACAGCATGTGTGAGATTCTAGCTTCAGAAGCTACTATGCCTTCTAAAGCATAACTGTTCAAAAGCAGTAGCAGCCTACTGTCCTCACATACCAATTTAGATAAAACAGGGTCCAGTTTTCTTGCTATAAACAGTGAAGGAGCAAGCTTACAAGAACAGCTTTCTTGGCTTCTCTTCCATGGATGATTGTAAGTAGACACTAACAGGTAAGTAATAGGTGTCAACTTCCAAGTACCATATCAAAATTTCCTGTGTCTCACTATAGCGAGACTTTCAAAAGAGTGTTAATTGAAGGAGGCTCTTGCATTCTCAGGAGAAAGAGAAGGAAGCCAAATACATGGAATAGGCTTTTTACCTGATAAGGTTTTGGGGAAGATAGTGTTCAACTATGGATGAAGGGGGTTCAGTTTTCTTGAGTATTTTTCCCTCGTGAACATCAGTTTCTGAGAAGTACAATTCATGGTTGTTAGGGTTTTTTTGGGGGGGAATAAATATAATAAAATAACGAGATTTCAGAGACTTTGTGAAGTGTAGAGTATTTCAGCATCTTCTAACCCATTAAATGAAAACAGGCTACTATCAGGTTAAACAGGATTTGAAATGCAACAGTGGGCCTGTGCTCTCTTTCCCTTTATTTTTCTTTCATTGTTAAAGACAACTTTTCCATTGACAGTGGCTTTCTTATGTATCAGACCTATGCTTTAGAACTGAGATGCCTTTATCTGCTAGCATTTATGATCTTGGCTGCTGGTACCTACAAAATGAGTCAAGAACTCTGAAACCGTTGACTTATGTAGAAGAGTGCTGAACTGTGATTCCATTCTCACAAATAGAAAAATGGGTTTTTCAGTTTTTCAAATGAAGCTATTAAAGAGACAAGTTCACTATTTTTAGTATTTTTTTAAAAATTTTATTTTTTTTTTTAATTTTATTTTTTTATCCCCCAGCCCTGATTTCAGCAGGGAAATCTCAAGGGAACAACCTATTAGGGAAGTATTGTAATGTTGCTCCATTTCTCTTCTGATAAGGAAGACAATGTGTGGAAAAATGTGGAATACAAAAAGAACAGAAGATGAAGATATTTTAAGTTTTTATCTGATAGTTTGAACAAGCAGAACTTTGCAAGAAAATAATTCTAAGGACTGAAAAATATATTAATTACAAGACTTGTTAATGTCTTTACTGTTACAAAAATTGTCTAGGCTCTTATACAAATCTATAGCCAGAAGGGGACATTTATAAAAAAATAAATAGGCACCCTAGGTAAGTTAAAACAAGTTATCACATATTAGTTAGCAAATATTACGTACATACATGGAGTGCAGTCAAATATAAAAACAAAGGTGCCCCGATTAGCTGTCCATTGACTATAATTAAATACCTGGTAAACATGGGTCACATAGAAAGTTGTCTGGTAAGATTGTTTCAAGCAAAGCAAGGAGATGGAAGTACATCTAAATTGCTGTAGCTACTTTAAGTTTACCAGTTGTGCTTACTGGAAGCCAAATTCATTGGTATCAGTAATAGGCATTCATATTGCTCATTGTACAGGAGTATGAACATTGCTATGCATGTTTAAAAATAAGTGTTCTAACATCATTCACAGTTGTTGCTGTGCTATTCATACATAAAAATACTGTTATTTCAAATATAAGATTTTTGCAAAACACTTTACAAATTATACATTATTTACAAATTCCAATAATCTTTGTTTTTACACAAGTATTAGAAGACAGTTTTACTTAACTGGCTATATATATTATGTAACATTGCTAGATGAACTAGAAAAATTTAATTTACAGCTTTTGAAATCTCTCAAAAATATTACAATTAGGAGTCTTCCAAATTCTTAGATTTTCCAGGTTCTTTTTCTGTATTCAACTGATTTTCTTACATAAGGATAATTTTTTTAAGTTGCTGTTTACCAGCAGCCATACCTAAACATGCATAATTATTTGCACTACAAATTCTAGAATTCATTTTTTTCCAAGTGCTACAACAAATTTTAATCAAGAAGGTAGAAATAAGATTAATCTGAGATACTTGGTTTGTTGCATATATCATGTTCCAGTTTTACTGTAAGTTACATGTAGTTTAATAAAAAAAAAAATCCTGATCTTGACAGAATAACCCAAACTACTGTTTAAATATACGCCTTGGATAATCGTGCTAAACAAGCACCAACATTTGGTTGAAGCACTAAAGCTCACATACGGTTTATAAACATAAAAAAGCCTTTCTGACTAACAGTGCAAGTATAAGCAAGAGTGTTTATTATGCATATTTAATCTTGCATTATTTTCCTAACTAAAAGGTATTGAAGTTTAGATGTAATCAGCAGCACCCCAGGTTAACGCAAGTTAATGAATAAGGGCAAAATTTAGCCTTTTCAGATTGTGTCAGGCTTTGCTGACGTTAATTCTTAATTATACATTGTTCAGTGTTACAGTAAGACTGAAACAGGACTCCAAGCCCCTGCTTCTGACACCACAAGACACGATGGGTCATTTCAAACACTCAGGGCTGCTGGGTGGGCAAAATCCTGCTCGCCCTTCTTTCCTCCCCAGCCCTCCCTGGGCCACAGCACTTTCTAGATAGTTGTGTGCACTGATTCAACTAACCAAACATAAGCCAAATCAATCCTCATTGTTACTGAAATAAAGTCAGGTTAACAAAAGACATGGTAAATGCCAGAGCTGCCCAAACTGCAGAGTAGAGCAAAGAGAGGAACTGCTGCTTTTTGTGCCCTCTCAGCCACTGCAGTCCAAATGGCTGCAGGTTTTCAGGCTCATCTGCTAATACAGATCGTATCCATGGGTAGGACTGCTCCAAATAGGGAAAAATGTCAGTAAAATCAAATGTCTGATCCCCATTAAACACTGCTCAAAATGTCAAGCTGAAAAAAGATAGGAAGTTCAATAAATAGCAGCATTGACTTTGCATGCAATTGTAGAATAAATCGGAACTGAACGTAAGTAGTAAATATATCTAAAACATTACAAAATTAATGTCATAATTGCAAGATAACTATTTTAAAATCAGCATCCTATTCTGCTATATCAGTTTGTAGCTTATGTGTTTAATTTTAATAAGTTAAAGTATATAGCTTATAGGGTGAAAAATCTGATAAATGTGTATGAAAATGTACACTAACATAGAGCAGGTATATGAATAGTACAGTCTCTTACTGCAATTTACTTGAATTCCCTTTGAAAATCTTATTTAACACTTGCAAACCAGAACCATTTTTAAAGAATTATTATTATTATTAAGGCTTTTCAAATAAAAAGTTAGAAATTCTCTGGGTAAACTTGTATTAAAGACACTTGAAGGTTTGTCAAAGCACAGACTCTCAGAGAAGTCAGTTGAAAGAAAACATGTTACCTCCTGCTACCTATCAGGACAAATAGCGCTCTATTATAACTAGATTTACTGCATTATATATGGTAATATGTTTATTGCTTTTGTTAGTCTAAGTATGTAGTGACCACAGTCTGAAGGAACACTTTTTCAACTGCAATTAATTAAATCTTCTTACAAAATTAGTAACATCTAGTTGATCTCACTGCTGTGGGATGCATACACCCAAAAGGGACCATTTTTAGTATAAACTGTAGAAGACAAGCTGAGTAACAGAAGTAAGCATTAAGGCAACTAGAGTAACGAATCCAAGAACCAGAAGTTTAGCACCTCTTCTCCTCTCACCTCTGTTTGCATATTCATTTAAAGAGTCATAACTCCTAAGGAAAGTACAGTCAACTGGGTACCCAGTTATCACACGCACAGAGATTCAAGGTTTGTGCCCGTTTACAGACTTCATGAAATGCAAAAGTCAGATCCAGATTTTAAGAATCTATCTACTGCAGTGTATGCCCTCTACGCTTGCCTTGTACCTTTGCTCAGATGTGGGATGCCTGGGCTCAAGAGTAGCATGGTATGTAGCATTCAGTTCTACTCCAGCTGATGGAGGATGCTTTTCTTTGTGAAAGCTTCCGCTATCTGCAAAATACAGTTTGGGTCTCTGATGATATTTCATCCTGTATGTGTCAGTCATACAACTATCTACTGAAAAATAAGTCGTTAGGGATACATTCTCATTTCCATCCACATAGCCAGCACCTGGTCCCGTATGACGAGATCCTTTCTTTAAAAAGTTTTCAGACACAGTCCAAAAGTCATTAACTGGTAAGTGAGGTGGTGAATCTGGTTTATTAACAAACAGCTCACTCCCTTGAAATGGTTCTTTAAGCCTTTGTTCGTTTGTAAATATGCTTGATTCTGATGCAGATTTTAAAGGTGTACCTGTTTGCCTTAATGGGTTATTTTGCAACACTTCTGTTGATCTTAGATCAGCTGCCAAGTTATTTTCTGATCCTGGCAAAGTATTCAGAGCATATTTCTTTGGCGGTAAAGGGGGAGGAAGATTCTGGTACACTGCTTCAGGCACCCAAAGAGCATCCACCCTTCGGAGTGGGTGCCCAGCGTGCTCACCGGGAGGGGGAAGCCCCATGGGCCTTTCTGACAGGTTCTGTGCCACACAAGGTGACAACCCCACCTTGGGGCCAACCGTTCTTGCGTGCTGAGACTGTGGCTGGCAAGAGGAGTGAAAGTCACTGTTCATCAGCTTCCTTCCACAGACGTTTTCTACATTGGTGTGGGATACGCCATCAGCACAATATACTGACACATTCATCTTCTCAAGCTTGTCTGGATTAAGCCACTCTGAAGGATTCTGTTCGCTGGCCTTGTTCCTACTTTCTGACTTAACGATGTCTTTAAGAACTGGCTGTAGAGCTGATGATGGGAAGAATTTCCTGTTGGTCTCAGGCATTTCAGCTCTAAAATACAAAACCACACAAGATCTAAGTATCCATAAAAACATAAGAAAAAGCTCAAATTACCCAAGGATTTTTTTTTCAACGACAGCCTTGGTAACAATACTTAAATATTCAAACTGACTAGAGAATTGGGATCTGCTTAACATACAGCCATTTGATTCAAAGTTCTATTAAACCACTCCAAGGTGTCACTTGAAATGTAAAGTGCCCCAAACATATCTCTGCAAGAGACTGAATGTCTGTAAGGTATGATGAATTCCTTCAACATTCAGGACTACATCAAACATGATCTCTGCTGCTCTTCCTGTTGACTCAGTCTGCTACATCCACTTTTCAAATACTAGATGTTACATTTGGGTGCTAAATTTGTATTTAGATTCTTGATTTTTAGGAGGTACTGAGAACTTCCAGTTCAAATTAGAAACAGGTATAAAGCAGCAGCTTCTAAACAGAAGGTATTTTTCCCTCCTCTTCCAACCAAACTTTTCAAAACTTTATGGGGTTATTGCACTAACCACTAATTGGTTAATCACTGCCTGTTGTAGTATATGAATTCAAAACAAAAAAAATATTAAACCCCTTTGCTCTGCTACAATGGTTATAGAACAATATAAGTTATTTGGTTTCACTGACATATTCAAAATTAAAATAAAGACAGAGAACATCTACCCCTATCAATTATGTAAAATTCTGTCAAAAATATTCAATACCTTAACTTTTGCATGCTTAATATTGATTACTATCACATAACTTAATTCAGTATTTCTTAAACTATTACATAGTAAATGAATGGTAATATTCGATACCTCTTTACTGGAGGACTGGGCACCTGCAGCTGTAATTCTGTTGGGAAATTAACATGAGGTCTGTAGTTAACGTCTGAATTGATCTGGTCTTTCCTCAAGTCTGGGGGTAAAAAAAAATTGTTTCCAAGTAAGTAGAAATACAGCGCAATTCCTTCTTTGTAATTCCTCAGAGGTTACAAAACCAAACAAAATACAACAAGACAATTCATTCTTTTCAAGATTTGACATTGATCAAAATAACCATTTTGAAGAAAATCTGTCACAGAAGGTCAGATCTTACATTCATCCAAAATAATCTGGGGAAAATGTTGGGGTTTTTGTTTTAAATGTTACCAGAAAATGGGTAATTACCACAATTTTGAAGTTCTGTAGGCATGTTTTCAAGATCACCTTAACATTTCATCTAATTAAAAGCATATTTTCAAATGCAACTTTTTATAAAAGCACATTTATTCAAACATCCAAAGTAATTTACATGACAAAAACTATTTATGAGTTCTGAAATTTCACATGATGTAATAATAATTAAATGGAATGAATACTGTAGGGATGGGGCATGTTTAGTTTTTTTGTTTTGTTTTTTAAACAAATGCATTATGCATTCTTTGAAACAGGAACTTACAGCAAACTGTACAGTTTGTAGAAATGCTGAGCAGACAGAGAGCACTCTGTCACGTGCCCTAAAGATACAACACGAGGGTGCCTGGGCCAGCACTACTGCACTCACTCTCTAGACGCTCCTTTTATTCACAGGCAAAGGCAAATAATCATTCTCTGAAAATACATGATTTCTGAACAATGCAGCTCCTAGTTAACAGTAAATAAAGGAAGCATTGAAGTACCCATGTCAACACCACATAGAGTAAAAGTCTCTTGGCAAGTGCCAAGCAATGGTCTATTTATTTAGAGATAGATATTAGAAATCTTCCTAATGCAATGATTGGCCCATTATCACCAGTCACCTGCTCTGAAGCCATTCAAAGAAGTCTTATTTTGGGGATGTATAGACTAGATTCATGTAACTACTACATCTGTTTCAGAAAAACAGGAATTAAATTCAAAAAAGGGATCATATATTGCCTGATTTCTAGTAGAATAATCTTGTGTTCAGTAGACAGTACTAACTTCGACAATTTCCAATGGAAACATAGGCTGTTCCATACGTCCATCAAGAAATGCTACAAAAATTTTCTATCTATTCTTAAATGATGTAATCTTACCAAGATAAAATACTTTTTTATTCACTTGCTACTTCTCCAAGTTTAAATAAAGTCTTGGAACTTTAGACTTGTAAACATGAATCAAAACCCCTACAATAGAAAAGAACTAAAAACTTTGGGTCATGCTGTTGGGTTATACTTGTTTTGAGGATCAATATCTGCCCTATCTTTAATTGATAAAAGACTACAGGTACTAAATCTTTGACAAAGAACACAGGTTGTAGAGGCTAAAATGGCATATAGTACAAGAGACAAGCCACCCATATTGGCTTGCCCTTGAGCCTCAAAATGGAAAAAAAAAATCTTGCTATTCTGGCATGATAAACAGTACCACAACTTTAGAAAGAATACTTCTGGGAAAATATTGTTACTGAATAAGCCTGTATGACTGTGGCAAGGGACAAGTAAAAGAAAGTTGAAAACTGCTCAAGTGTGCTGTGGCATCAGAGCTAACTAACAATGAGGTAAGATTTCAAACAGAAAACATTTCTTTCTGCTACAGATTTTAATGAACTGTAAATAGCTTTACTGAAAAAAAAAAAAAGCACAAGCTCTGACACATTATTTCCTGTGAATATTTCCAATTCAGTATTTAATCTCAGTCCCATCATCAGGATACAGTCCTAGGAATGAACTAGCTAAGTAATTTGCTAGATTAACAGTGTCTGAAGCTAGTGTTTTTAATTTTCAGGCTTTGAATAGATCGACTTCTACAAGAGCATGTCTACTTAAAGATCGCAAATAAATTGCCCATACAACTGCTCTTTAATTTCCCAAACTGCCTGACGTGAAGATTACAGATTTTAATTTTTTAATTTTTACTCCAAGGCAAACTCCCAAGGAACTTAGCGTGTTCAGCCCTCCCAGAGGCAGTATCACAAATCGAGCAGGAGGAGGCAGCAAAGGTTAATAAGCTGTTTCCTTGGTGTCACCCTGGTGCACACTCAGCCAAAGCTGCTCAGCGATACCAGGTGCTTTGTACCTTCAGAATTCCAGCTGACTTAAAAATAGATGTGTTATTTTCTCTTCTGCTGACAGGATATCCATGCATGGTTAAAACCAGACGTGGACCTGATTGGGAATTTTGGCTCTATGTTCTTCACAAATCTGAATACGTGACACACAAGCACTGTGCTCAGCTGGAGACTGACACCATTATCAATGGGTCGCAAGATGCTTACTAATAAATGAAATGTAACTTTTTTCTGACATACAAACCAGTCTGCTTTTAAGATTTACGAACATCTATTTCCACATCTGAATAGCCAATCTAGATTTTCAAAAGATTAACAGCCATTCTATAGCCAACAGGTGGCACAGACAAATTCTCCTCTAGTACCTACATTTACACATACAGCCTATTTGCAAAAATCTGCAAAGCCCAATATCTGAGGAAAAACAACAACAAACAACCCCCCCAAAACCTCCACATTAAATTCAGTTTCCTTCTAATGTGCTTTAGCGGCATGTTTCCTGTACTTTTGATTACCAGATTTTTTAATTTATTTTTTTTTAAGTTTCCAATTAAAAAAAGCAATGTGTAATACTTTTTTGTTACAAGTACTGTGGCAAATTCCTCTCTCTGAACCTAGACATTTTTCTGTATTCAGTTGAAATGACAGGCACACTTACTGGAAGCTTTCATATGTGGAACAGTAACATCACCCCAGTCAAGAAGGTAAACACATAATAACTTGTCCAAAATAAAATATTATTTTTAAAAAAAAAGGGACCATCTTCAGAAAAAAACCCCCTTATATTCAAGAAACTGTCCTTTTGGAGCAACATACAGCTGCAAAGCATTTCTTATATATTCATGAGCGGATTTTTTTCCATGGCTTTTAACATCTGGAAAAAATGAAAATAAAGTTCCACTGCTGTTTTTTTTGGGGGTGGGGTGGTGCATACTTGCATACATGTGAGAGTTTAAATAAATTCTGTAGTGAAGCAACACTCGACAAAGAACAACTATTACTCTCCCTTCATTCTGATCTGCCTGTTTCAAGAAGTTTATCAGGTCTTTGTTTTAAAACTGAATCTCGAACTTTTGCCTCATCTATTTTAAATTGCAAACTTCTCACATTAATAAAGTGAATTACAAATGTGAGAGTGCTTTACATTTCAATCTTCATGGGCTGCTTGGCTACATTTGGAAATCTTGAAAGTTCAGGATTTGGTTGGTTTGTTTGTTTATTGATGTCCTCCCCCCCAAACAAAAATCTTTTAATTTATCATTTAAAGACACTCCAGAAGAGCATTTATTTGTTTCTGTTTCATATTAAGTAAATTAAGTAGTTGCATGCTTTAATTTACTACTCAGTTCTTCAAACACGACAATCATATTCATTGACTGCACCAGAAGGGTAACAGCTGGATTTTTTTAATTATAGTTGTGTATTTTAAATTATTACTATAAATGTATGGTTTTCCTAAGAAGATGAGTTTTCTTTTTCAGAATTACAGTTTGTTTGTGGGGCTTTATGAAGTGACAAATAACCAAAGGCAATTTGGATTGTTTTTACACACTCACCAGAGCTTCAGAATGACTCTAGATTTCAGTTGGAGTTGTCTCAAGCTATTAAACTCAATAATTAACAATGGGAAAATCTCTGGATTTGTAATACTACAAACACCGCTTTGCATTTATTTTCAAAGGGAAGCAATTATTAACTTAAGGCACTGATTCCAAGTACATCCTTTTTTGAGATCACCGAACAGGCAGCTTTTAATACTATATCTTATATAAGAGGCCATCAAACACTTGCCCAATTTTAATCACAGCACTTACTCTACTGACAAGTTAGTTCAAGAATGAAGTGTTCCGAGCTTTGGGTGGGCAGGAGGGGAAGAATATAGAAAACAGGGCTTCTGGGATTTAATTATATTTTTTTTTCCTTAACCTTCCCAAGAGTAATGCCTTTTATTGAAATTGTCAGGAGTGGCAATTTCATGAAGACATCTGTGCTTTAGGAAACAGGGAGGGTTGTCATGAAAGCCACTAAAAGCCCTTTATGATTGAAAATTATTATCAGTAGCTAGCACATGGACTGCTCTGAAAATCCATTAAAAAATTCTGTAGTCCTTTCCAACTTCTAAGAATTATAGTCATCTTTCTTCAACTTGAAGAATGTGAGGTTGGAAATTTTGCCCTCACACCGTTCATGTCACATGTTCTTTATAAACAAAAAAAATTAGCTTCTACAGTTCAAGTTCAAACTTCAGAAGCACTAATTCATTAATATAAGTTAAGGATACTATATCTGCTTACCTAATATCCATGATTTCCTGCCAAAATTTGGCCACACAAATTAGGGCTTGGCCTCGTGGGACATTTGCTTCAGCACTACCAATACCTACAGCTTACTACCAGTGAAAGCAGCAGCCATTTGATCTGCATAAGCACTGTGTGATCCAATGTTACTATCTTTGTAATGCTCCAACAATAAGCTTATTTTTGTAAGCGAGGGACAGAATTCCTCAACTCCTGAACAGTAGCCTCATTCAGCTCCAGTTAAAAATGAGGAACTGGTAAAGCACAGTTATACAAATGGTGGGCGTAATTAGAAGTCCAACATTATTTCCATAAGAAGTTTTCCACACCAAGAAAACCACCCAGAGATATTTTTTCAAGTTGCCATGAGACACTAACAAAGATTTCTTACATTCCATTCCTCTCAGAAAGGACTGGGCATTTCTTTCTTAAAGTACTATTTTCTAGACGTCCATTTGGTATTTACCTACCAATTCATGTCTTGTTCGTAATATTCAGAGATATAACATAAGGTAATACCATTGACACCTGTAAATGACTACTACTGTCTTTGCTGAAGGTGGCCTGACACGCTTTTTAGACAGCCAAAAAACTGAGTCTAAATAAATCTTTAACTCCACATACATGTGGAATAATCAAATTCTTCAGTCTATTAATCACTTCCACTAAAAGTATTATTTTCCAAAACATGCACACATGTGAGAACTTCACATTCTATTTAGAATACATACATGTTTGCTATGAAACTATTCAAAGGTTAGTTACTGAATTAGAATAAATGAATAGATGGGATCTTATCATCAATATTTTATGATAAGTCTAAGGATCCCTTGGAATCACTACACTTTTTTAAAGAAAACGTATGATGTATGTTGAAAGCTTTAAGTATACTTAAGTACAGTCCACAGTTAGCTCTAGAGAATATTCATTACTAAGCTGAAACATTGTTTGAATCCACCTATTTTTCATTCTGACAGAGTACTTTATGTATTTTTCACTGGTGTTTATTTTTTTCTTTTTGCTATCCAAGTGTGTTGTGTTGTTTTTTCCACTGGTATGATAAGCATAGTATAGTACAGAACTAGAGCAGAATAAATATCATGCAAAAACCAGATCTTTGCATTCCATACAACATCAATTTTGGTGGGTTTTTTTTTGTTGTCAAAATCAAACACCAAATTAGTTCTCCTTCTACAACCAAAAATATATTGGAATAATGACATAAAAGAAAAGGAATGGTATGGCAAACCTGCCTTCTTCCCCCCCTCCCATTTAAGTCTTAGAAGAAACTATACTATACATTATTTGAAGAGAAGTATCTATAAAAATCAAACATTTCCTGGGGAAGAGGAATATTTATTGCACCTCTTTGTACAAGCACCATTCCATTGTTCCAGCAACAATAACAATGATTTTGGTTGGCTGTGCTGACCTATAATATTTATATGCCCAGACATTTATCAACTTTATAAAAACCCAACAGGCATATTAGTATGTAAAAGGAAGTCGATTTCCTTATTACAAGTGTTTCTTCCTGATATTGCTTCATATCTTGAAGGAAAACAAACGGTACCACAGTCCACCCAGACATGTTTTTAAAAATCTTCCTTAGTATCCATCCATCAAGAAAGCTCATGGAAATGCTTTTGGGGAAAACACAGGGAGTAAACAAAATTACCATGGTTTTCCCTTTTTTTTTTTTTCTTTTGCATGGGGGGGTGTGCAGGAAAGGAATATGCAGACTTGCTAAAAAAACCAAACCAAAACCAAACATTGAACTGAGACATATATTCTCAAAGCAGAATATAAGCAACAGAAATGGAGATTTATATTTAATCATTTCCATGGGATTAAAAAGAAAGTACTGATTAAGGCCAGTGAAAGTGAATTATACCAGATGTTTTATGCCAGCATAAAAAACCCACAGACTCACTGAATGATAGAATGGTTTGGGTTGGAAGGGACCTTAAAGATCATCTAGTTCAACTCCTCTGCCATGGGCAGGGACACCCTCCACTAGACCAGGTTGCCCAAAGCCCCATCCAACCTGGCCTTGAACACTTCCAAGGATGGGGCATCCACAGCTTCTCTGGGCAACCTGTTCCATTGCCTTACCACCCTCACAGTAAAGAATTTCTTCCTAATATCTAAGCTAAATCTACCCTCTTTCAGTTTAAAATCATTGCTCCTTGTCAGGTCACGTCACTACAGGCCTTGGTAAAATCCCTAATACTGGTGAACAATAGTGGGTTTGGTTCTTGTACAGAGAACCTACACCAGCCCGAAGCAGTTACGCATCAGCCTCTTCCTGAGAAGGCGGTGGTGTATGACATCCTTGTGCAATGACAAACTGCTCTATCAACCTATAAAGAAAATGCTTCGTAACAAAACACACGAGATGAGGACTGTGGCAAGAAAAATCATTGTACCCTGATTGTCTATCAATAAAGAAGCTGTGACCTCCCAAAACAATACTTGGTTTTCCACACCAAAATAATGCGTTTAAAATAGATTCAAGCACTACAAAAAATCGACTAGCCTGTAACTTTGGTGCTACAGGTCATGTGAAACAACTGTTTGGGAGACATGCCATGCTTTTACGTGACTCAGCACACAGCTAAGCACTGCCACTGCTGTCTGAAAGGAGACCAGGTAAACTCTCACATGCATATTCATGACCTTGCAAAGAAGTAGGGAACTACTACTGCTGCCACCATCATAACACAAAGAGTTTTCTTCACATGGTGGTCAAGCGCTGAAAAAACCCCAACCCCTCTATTTAGGAATCTATATATCAAGGCAGATAGCTAGGAATCCATTTACACTCTACATTTGCTCTACAAGAAAGCCAAGAAACTGAATAAATGAACGTGCTTTGTGGAACAGAATACTTTAAATGTCCCTGAAAAAGTGATATTGTTATTGAACTGCTGCTCCATCACATTTCCATCAGAACGTACCAAGAAGGGATATGAACACTTTCCATCTTTATCCGTCAGTTTCTCACTGAGAAGGTTAAAAACATGAACAAGATTTGGAATTCACTGTAGAGGGGAAAAAAACCCCCACAAAACATGATTTCTTTTGCCATGTTAAAAAGACAGCGTACACAGGCTATGATGAGTCAGCCAGAGATCTCTCTACTGAAAAAAGTATGTAAAACCCCCTAACATCACGGCCAAAACAGCCATAGATTCCATGCCAATTTTCTTCTAATCCACCTAAATACAGCCAACCTAATACACAAATTGTCTAACTTTGAAATATTTGGTTATGGCTTGTAAAAAAAAACCAAACCAATGATAAACTGTATATACATTTTACAATTTTATGAAATATCATTACCTTAACTTATGCAGCAAAATTATACAAAAGGCTAATCAGTAATGTGTTGTGTGATATTAGTAAGTTAGTATTAAAATTTTGGTACTTCTAAATTATTTTTTAGAAAACTTCTTATTCTTTATACAAGTTAAAAGTTCTTACCATAAAAGCTTCTGTTCTGCTGGGATACTGAATGTAACACATTGTCAGCTTTTTTGGTTGACAAGTTCTGGTCGCTGTAAAAGAAGCATATAGGTAATTTGAAGGCTTAAACTACTGATGTATGACTACAAACTTTATTGCCTTGAGTGCATACAGGCGTAAATACTTTGTCTATGTGAAATGAACTCTTTATCATCACTGTCACGTTTTTTACTAACACACACACTTTACAGAATATACATGAGATAGTAGGGGTGGCCCTTTAATACTTTTTCAACACTGCTCCCACACGTGACAGGCTGTGCTGACGCTGATGAAATTTAGGATGACCCGAATCCTTTAATATGGACAGACAAAAAAAAAAATACAGTTTGTGAGGCTGGTGTTCCCAATTTGTTCTGGAAATTGGATGCCTGCTTATCTGAGCCTTACTCTAGAGTACAACAGCAGGATGCCTAGTATGCAGCACATAAAAAGATACACAAAGTTTTCTATAGTGATTTTCAAATGGAACAGATACCACTGGCTACCTAATTCAATTTATTTGTAGATTTTATCTAAAAGTGCCACTTTAGTGCAGCAAAAGAATACTATCCATGTGGTACCATATAGTTTCCAATTTATCATCAGTATCACCCATGTCTGAAACAAATGCATTTTTCAGCGTTAACAGTTTACACTGAGTATTTCGGAGTTAAACATATAGCAGCATCTGACTACAACAAGCTTAAGTTTAAAAATGCAAAAATCTCATCAGTATCGATATCTTAGGTATGTGTAACCTGTTAGCTAACATTTTATCTTGTCCATTTTGCTAGCTTGACATTTCGCTATCTATTAATACTTTTTTGTGTCAACAAACATTGCTCTTCTAAGTTGTGATTGCCGCTTGGTCTTTCATTCAAAGGGATTTTCGTTTCAAAAAGTTTTTCTTAAACTGGAAGAAAATTGAAGATTACAACAGCAAGCCCAAGAGGAGTGAAAAAAAAAATTAAAATCAGCAGATTTAGTAAATCTTGCTGGTTTAGTTAAGCAAAAAGCATGCCTTACCAATCCAGATAGGGAGCTGACAAACACACTGTCAATTCCTTCCTTCTCCAAGAGTAAAGCAGGGAAGAAGATACACAGTGGCAATTTTTCAATTAAGAAAAAAAAAAGACTCTTGTTATTGAGAGCACAGGAAAACAAGAAAAATATTGAATGAAACAAGAAAAATGGAGAAAGAACCCAACAGAAAACAAAACACTAAGTATTTTTTTTCCACACTCTAAAAGAACTTTCAAGTAAATCATTTGTATTTTTTTGTTTTTATGAGACAAAGTCTGAACAGTTAGAAGGGGACTAGTGGGTATTGCCAGTCAATTCTAATTACCAGTCATATAAAATCCTTCTGAAAGTCCCAAGTCATTTGGATTTTGATAAAGTACAGGGTTGTTTCTCTTTATTTGACAAATATTTAAACAATAGCGTAAGCAGATTCTTAATGAACTAAGTTGTTTTAAATTTATCATATTCTCTCTCATAAAAAGACACATGCAGCATTTGGGCATCCCAGTACCTCTCAGGCATGCTTAGAAATGAAGTATGGTTGTAACTGTAGCAATCACTGTTTAAGGCGACCATGAACACTGAAAATATAAAGGTGGTTTGGAGTAGCTTTACACTTATCACTATCCAATAAAAAGCCTGTAAGTTTTTTGTATAGTGGAATTTTGTACAGTTTGTTGTGCAGGGAAAGGTGGGAGGGGGGACAGAAAAAGAGGGGAATAGATAAAGGCATGGGGTAAAAAGAAGAATGTATGGGTTCTAGTAGGAACTATGTTCCACATACAGTTTAAGACACACAATACAGAAAACCACGTGCAAGGTTGATAAATTTGTATTTCACAGCACCACATAATCATTTACGTTGGAAGGGACCTCTTCAGATCATCTAGTCCAACCCTCCCTGCTCAAGCAGGGTCAACTACAGTGGGCTGCCCAGGACCGTACCCATTTGGGTTACGAGTATCTCCATGGACAGAGACTTCATGTCTCTGGGCAACACTCTTGTTATTACCATACATCAATTCTTAGTAAGTTTAATAAAATTTGGCTACTAACCATGTTTTTGACCAGTTTTAGTAATTTTACACTTTTCAGCAAAGATTTCTTTCAAATAGGTCAATTGATTATCAAGTGATCAATATATATCTGAAAACTGAATTTCAGAACAATGCCTAGTAACAGTATACAAGATTCACTTGCTGCCATTCCCATCTCCTTGTCAGGGGCTTGTCTGTACAACTGTTACAAATCTGATTTATATAGACACTTGTATTCCACTACAGATGGCAAGTTACCCACAGTCTAAAAAACTTGTAACTAAAAAAGTGTAGCAATCATTTCAAATTAACAGACCCTGCCCCTCAGCAGGGCTTAGCAGTTCTGGCTCAGTGCCATAATAATGTGTCTCAGTGCCTTCCAAATACAACTGGTGTTGCAGCCTCAGAGTGAAGGTAAACTTCACACTTGTCCACACCCTTATTTCTAGATGTGTTGCTAACTTTCTACATACCTGACCGCAAGCATATGAAGTTCCAAAGCATGTTTTCTTGATTATTTTTTTTTTGAAACAACACAGGAACATTAGAACAACTTATTTCTCTGTAAAGACAATCTATGGAAGTTCTAAGAGCATTAGCATTACCTGCAGGAAGCACTTTCTCTAACATTCTTGACATCTGCTGTATTGATTCCTTCAATAACAGGCGAATCTGGATTTGCAGATCCATTGCTGATATGATCACTACTTTCATATCCAGATTCTGTCCTCTGAATTTGCCAGTTATCACCATGGATTTTTCTCTCTGTAAATCCTTTGCTTTTTTCAGCATTCCCTTTTCCCTCCGAATCCAGTGAACTTCGACTTCCTGTATCCTGTTTTGTTTCATCTTCATATATAGTCATTAAACCTTTCTGGATTTGGTTCTCTTTTGGCCAATGGTTAAAGCTTCGCTCCTTTTCATGCTTAGATTTACTGCTCGGATTTGCCTTGTGCTTTGGGCTATGCTGTTTTTTCTCAGTCTCACTGAAAATGCTGTCTACGTTTAGTGTCTCTCGCATAGGTTTCCAACCTTTACTTCTGCTTCTGCTGCTGCTGATACTCCCTTTGTCCCTCGAGTCTTGACTAGTGTCTGTATCGTAGCCAGTCACACCGTCAGTTCTGGTCCTGATCATTGGTTTCTCCCCAGCAGGAAAAGCTTCTGTTTTATTTGATCCAAGTACCTGTACAGAAAGCTTTGCTTGGTGAGGTGCATTGTCATGTTTATAGCAGCCTCTTCCCTGGCTGCTGTATATGCGCTGATCAGCACAGTGTCTAAGTCCATTTCCAACCAGAGGAGACCCCAACTTAACATTGGAACGATCTTCCCCAATCAAGTCTTATAAGAAAAAGAGAAAAGCTCCATTAGAATTCTCATCAATAGATAACTGATACTGTTAGAGTACCTATGTTTCCTACCCTATCTCAACAAATCCAGTACATATTTCAGAATACTGAAAACAGGGGAAATTAATCATGCAGGGTATTCTCTTAAAAGGAGAGAGAAATCTGCACAGCTAGTATTGATGCTAAAAGCTATTTAACCTATCGAGTCTCTGGTCATATTTTTAAAACGTACCTCTTTGTCTCCCAGACTCTTTTCTTGGTCCTCTGTCCGCATCTTTTCGCAAAGATGAGAAGTTCTTCATATCAGCAGCTTTCTGAGCACACTCTCTGGAGATGTCCTTTAGCCTCTCCTTTTGATCGCTGTAACCTAACTTAGCTGCAAAAAATACTTTTTGTCAAAGATCATTACTAAAAAGTCATTCATCATCAAAACACACAATATATTTATGTACCATAACATTTAGCTTTTAATATTAGTACTATTTAAAGAGACTAGTGAATGACATAACACAGGTTAAGAAAATGAGATATATAGTATAGATATAAATGTATAGGTATCTCCAAGGAGTCTAATGAAAGCAACCAAAGCAGCATTATGTCAAGCATGTCCTGACACCTCTTACTTATTAAAACTGAACGCTCAAGCCATTTTCAAAACATATACTATTTACAAATTATACTGAAAAAATGAATCTAAGTTTAAACTTGTCTAAATGTGAAGGTTTATTTTTAATAAAACAGTGGAGTTGCTGTTTATGAAAACAAATCCGTCTATTTCTGAAAAGGTAAATACTGACCATTTTTGAGTCATCACTCCATCAAAAAAAAGTTACCAAGCTGAGCAGTCTCAGTTTTAAAACATCTAGTGATTCAACAATAAAGACAGAGGAGAAACACATCTCAAGAGAAGGCAGCATCTCTCCACCTGAGAAGTATGGAGAGTTCAGCACTGACAAGGAATGCAGAAGTCACTGCCTTATAGGACTACTTATAGCTTGATTTGCTTGGAAGCCTAATGTACAGAGAATGGATTTTTAAACAGGTGAGAACTTCTTTATTATTCTTTCCAAGCATAAGATAAAGTCCATTAACATACAGGACTACAATGATGTTTGGGGGAGTATTCCTCAAAACAGCCAATGATCCACAGAGCCACATCATGTGTTCCAAAATATCAATTATCTTCAAGTTTCTACTGTGCCTTTTAACTGACACTGAATGGAAGGCATGATGATGTTTGAGAAAAGGATCAAGGCCTTGAGAGCCACTTTAGTGCAGGAATAATGAGGGGTAATAAAAAAAATTTGCATTTACCATTCTCCAGAAAAATTAACATTCCATGGCAGATATTACTTAAACATTGGTTGTTATTTAAAGTCAATGATGGAATTCTTGCTTTAGAAATAGTTCTAGTCCAGAGGTTAGCACATACCTGAAATGCTATCAACTGAAATATTTCATAAGATGACACGTTTGGGTTTTTTTGGGAGTGGGGAATACATACCTGGCCCTCTACCACCACTAGCTTGAATATGGCTCCTACTGAATGCTGGATTATCTGGCTGAAGTTTTTTATTACTCCTTTGATTAGTCGGGTCTCCAATTCCATTCTCTTTCACAAGGTCTGATTTAGGAGCAGAATGCTTTTCAAATCCTATCAAATAACACATGTATCTTTAGAATTGAAAGGCTTCCTAATTTAAAGTTTCCAATATCTAAATTAAAAAATAAGAAAACTTTTTAATTGCAGATTAAAAACAAACAAACAAAACCCTCACAAAAACTCCACACCACATTTCAATATGCTAGGCAGTAAGGTTCTGTAATATTTTATATACTGTCATATTTATAGTGGTAGACTGTAGTGGAATAGGGTCCCCAATTCTTTCATCCCTGAAGCAATCTTTGTCCTATTGTTACTTATTTTGTGAAGCGGAACATGTCAAATTCAATTGGCCTTTTACTTAATTTACTTGTATGCTATGTTTAACATTTAAAAAAACAAGTCACAAAAGTTTAACACAAAAAAATCCAAGACAGCAATACAAACTACAGAACCAAAAGACTGGATTCCTACATATTGCGGCCTATTCTATATGAATCTCAGAGAAAAAAGTTTCCTGCAGCTCCTTCTGATTTTTCCCAAACTTGTGAGTTGTGCTCTGTGTGTGTGTATACATGCATATACAAACACACATGCTCCAAATATATCTCCGTATTTGTATGAAGCTTTACTTACAGTATCTTTTAATAGCATTTTAAAGGTATTTTATATGTATCAATATATACCTAAGAACATCCGCATATACAAATATTCTACGATTTTCTTCTGAAATTACTGAAGTTATGTGTAAAGTAGTTATGAATCATCTACAATAGAATCTTTTTTCCCCATTATCCCTGAATCTCAATTTGTATTCCCTTATCAGACACAAAACAATTCTAATATTGAATATATACACTAATCTCTCTTCTTTTGTGACCCTTAAGATAATTATTAATAAAAGTATTTAAGAACAAAGCAGTGAATCCATTACCTTCTCCTTTATAATCCCCATTTCAGAAATACAGTTGATACTGTTACTAAAAAAAAAAAATATATATATATAAATTACCCAAGTCTTCCCCATTTCCTCCTGCTTTGCACTGAGACCAGTGAATAATCTGCTTTGGAGCATCTTCTGGAGATACGGCTGTGCCATCTGGGTTAGCATAAAATAGCAACAATGGCTGAAAGTGACATCGAATGCACCTGGAGACCACATCTTTCCATTTTGTTCCGATCTAAGATAAAAAAACAAAACAAAACAACCCCAAAACAAAACCCCAAAGGTTTATCAACATCACTGAACCCAATTATGGAAAGAAAAAAATATTAAGCAACAGGTACCAAATGCCTAATTCCAAAGGTTCATTAAGATTCAACATTTTGGCAC